GTGTGTGTAATTATGGCAGCAAAGCCTCGAGGGCTATCTGCCTAAGGGGAGGGATGCCTTTGTGGAGGACTTTCTAAGGGAAACTGGCTCGTATACACGTTACACATGGGGAAAAACCACGAAAACGCCCATGCAGCCAGCCCGTTTGCGGGATTCGAACCGAACTACCAGTGTTCAGCGACTTTACCGCTCGGCCGCTGGTAGGCCTACAAAGTATTCTTGGAGATGTAGAAAAGTTGAACTTCTTGGAAAAAGTATTAGATAATTGTCTAAGTATCCATTAGCAGAAAACAGTATTTTTATGTGTGCTGAATATGTCCTATCCTGTTAAACTTTGTGTGTGGGGATGTGAATCTTGGGTGTGGTTTGTGAAAAACCTATGTATTTATTTCATGCTATAAAAACTGTTTTGGTGTTTTTATATATCCTGATGATAAATCTGTTAATAAGAAATTAAACCTTTAAAACTGTAACATAACTTGAATATCTAAAGCAAAACTGTACCAACAGTACACCACATGGAACAAACTACTGCTCAGATGAGTCAATTAAAAGTCATACAGAATATATATATGTATGTCATTTCATGCAATATAAATATATGCCTACCAGTGCCTCAAATAGTAAAGTTGTTTAACACTGGTAGTTTGACACAGGTTCAAATTTAGGTGTACAGTATGGCAGCATAGGCATTTTTGTGGTCTTCCCCCATGTGCAATGCGAACATGAGCCTGTTTCTCTTACAAAGTCTTCCATGAAGGCAACCCCTTTAGGCAGATATCCCTTGCATACCTTACCATAATGAAAAAAGCCAAAGAAAATATTTATTGCTTGAATTATCTTTCTTATCAAAAAACTACAGGTTTTCCTTCTGTTAAGTATAATTGAGCAGCTAATATGACAATTCAAATTAATAAAGCTTGTCATTTATTAATGATGATTTTAAAAATCATTTAATGATAATTTAGTTTAAATATCACGCTGAATAACACTCAAAAACAAAGTCCAACATTAAGAATCAGGGTAAGTTTTTAAAAATTTTTTGCAGTACTACTTTCGATAGTTTTTGAACTACCTTCTTTAGCTGCTAAGTGCAAATGAACCAAATAAAGGGTGAAGAAAAATAAGATAAGAAAAGTTGACGCCTTTAACGAAATTTTGTTTTAGTTTTTCTTATTTCATCAATAGATGGCGCCAGTAGCTTAACTTCTGACCAACTTTTCTTGTCTTTATCCCTATCTTATCTTTCTTCACCCTTTATTTGATTCATTTGCACTTAATAGCTGAAGAAGGTAATTAAAAATTTATCGAAACTAGTACTCCAAAAAATTTCTTTTAATTTATGCTGATTCTTAATGTTACACTTTGTTTTTGATCTTTTTTTATCATTTAAAGATAATTCAAAAAATGCAACTGTATTCAAGTAATAGAAAACTATAATTATTAGGTACTTTAGTTATAATTTTTATGTGTATTAAAAATTTATCAGTCACATAAAACTACAGATGCATGAAGAAATTTGACATAACAGAACCATGTCAGTTTTATTTACATCATAATACAGATGCATAAATACAGATATTTACAAAGTATTTTCTTTTTTACTCTTTTTCAAATGGTGAAAGTACAACATTTTAAAAGGCACAAAAATGCAACAGCTCTCAAAGTGCCAACTACATAGCATACTTAACTAGATCAGCAGAAACTTAAAATTTTTTTAATTAACTTCTTGATGAACACATAAAAAAGAGACTTTATAAAAGAAAACTCAAAATTACATTAATTAAATAATTCTGAATCTTTTAACAGAAAGATTTCAGAATATATTTGGAAATTTAATTATTAAGAAAACAAAGTTTTGAAATTATTGTGAAAGGAAATTCATATGTTTATGAAAAAATATAATAAAAAGTAGATTTTTAGGATAAATAACAATAACAATAACACATATATGTTCCTTTTTATAACTTAGAAACTTACAAAGAATTATATTTCAATTAAAGAACTGTATAAACATAGGCAAAAGATGACTTCAAGAGATAATTGAAAGTAATTTCAGTGGCAATTGATTATGATTATATGCTAATTTATTATGTCTCCTTAAGGTCGTATCATACATTAAAAAGATTTTAGAAGAATAACTCTTTAGAACATTTTTCCTGCTTTACCACATGACATGAAACAGCCAATCACAGCAGATCATTTTGGTGTTGCCATGTAAAGGGGAAACTAGTTCTCCAATAAAAAAGATAACTAATGACGGGGATTTGATGCTGATAGTAACAGCTGTAAGTTATTGAAAATGAACAACTTACAGTTTTTTGCAAAAGAAAGGGAAAAATCGTCCATCCTTCTTTCAGTGGCAACAGAGACAGAAAAGTTGTATGAAACAGTTGATCGTCTAAAATAAAAACATGTGCGATACCAGCCTTACACAATATTATGAAGCTTCCTTAATTCTCCACATTTTAAGATACAATCAATAATGATTTTCACATTTTTTGTTTTTAAAAGCACAGAAGTTGTTATTAGACCTGTCAAAATATTAGTCTGTATGGTAATCGACAATAAGTAATTTAAATTTTGTCAAATGCTAAAAACGAAAAAATTTTAAGTTATAATTCAAACACCATTTTAAAGCAAGATATAATTAAATCCTTATCTCTCTCCCATGGAATATAAAAATATCAAAAATCAATCGTCTTCCCAGCTATAACAGGGGAAAAAAAAAACTTCAATCTGAAAGATAAATTCTCTATAATATAAATATCGGTGCATAGTTCAATCCAATTTAAATAAAATCCATAAAAGAATTATTATCAAAAATAATAAGATATGGTATTCCCACTTATTCCAGTTTCTCTAAAATTAATTATTATTTTTTTTTTCCTTTCCTTTTTAATTATATATATATATATATATCCGCATACTTACATATATAACAAACATATGATGCAATAAAGTTCTATCTTTGATAAGCTGTTTTTCAAGCTTTTTTAGTACTTTAACTATTATCCATAACTATATCTTTAAATAATTTCAATTTTTGCAAATACCAAAATTAGTTTGAAACAATCAATTTAACTATAATCTAAAGATATTGTTTCATAAGAATAAATTGAATTTTTAAATTTAAAATTTAATTTAAATCACAATTTAATTAATATTCTTTGCCCCATTGCTGCAAGGAATGAAATTTAAATTTAAACAATTTAAATTCTTTACAAATACGTAAAAGTTTAAAAAAAATTAAATTCTAAAAAAAGGGAAAAAAGCAAAAAAATTTTAAAATTATTTAAAAAAATGTGCAAACATGTAAAGATTTAATTCTCGAACTAATCTACAATATCATTAAATTCAAAGCATAAGCAAATCAAGTGCAAAATCTATCCATGAAAATAAATCTACTAATTAATAAATTAAAATTAAATTAAACAATTTTTTTAAAAAATGCATATGTGAATGACCGTAGAGTAGGCAGGAGACAGACTTATCAAGGGAGTTGCCTCCAAACCTAACTCTCAATATTCAATTCGTGTTTCGTCATTCATGCAGGCAGGGTAAAAGTCAAAACCAAAAGTATTCCAATAAAGTGGTACCCTTAGAAATTAACATTTAAGTATTAAATTTAAGAATTAAAGTTCAAAAAGGAAAGTATTTGGAGTACAACAAGCAAGTCAAGAATTAAACTTTTTCTTAAAAAATTAAAATTTTCTTTAATTTTTAAAAATAATTAAAAAAATTTAGAACCAATGTATTTAGAATCCTTGTCTACAGAAACTTCCCCTACACGAATAGCATATCAATAAAAAGAAACTATAAAAGAACTATAAATCCAATTAAACCAATAAGAAACAAAAAGAAACTAATTCACAATTTTTAAAAAAACTATATATTTAAAAATATAAGTCATATTTAGAAAATACTTTGATACTACATAAAAATTTTTAAAAAAATACTTAAAGCAGTAAATAGTAAGTTTAATTCTAACTTACCTACTATATGAGTGTGGGGCTGCAAAAGTGTTGTGAAAGAGAAGAAGTGTGTTCTTCAAATTATATAGGGCGCTTATGTAGGTAAGTTGAGGTCAAGCTGCTATCTTTGTAATAGTAAAAAAAATTTTTTTAAACATTAATTAAAAATTAAATTAAATTAATTAAAAACCTAAAGGTATAATCAATATTTAGGAGTTAAGTAACTGAGCCATCAAGAGATGTAAGTTTGCCTTAAGGAAATTAAAGGTAGTGGTATGTGAAAAAAATGTAAACTGTTTGTAATTTGAAATGTGTGTTATGTGAAAAATTGTGAAAATTGTTAAAAAATTTAAGTGAAAGATATTTTTGTGTGAAATGCAAAAAAATTAAGAAAAACTGAATGTTTTAATATTAAAGTTTTAAAGTAAATTTCCCAGAATTTTTTGAAATGAAGTCCTTAAAAAACTTCTAAAATTCTCAGAATTCCAAAATTCCTTTAGGAAGTTAAAAACTTAAATTTGATGAACGAAAATATTAAAAGTTTAATGAATGATTCAATTGGTATATCAAAAACTAACAAATACTGGTTAAAGTATGATTAGAAGAAGAAGAATAAAATCTCACTCAATCGGCTATAATTGAGACTTTGAAAAGAGTTGGCCCTTTATTAGTAAAAGGAAAAAATACGTATTGATTAAATATACATATTTACAAATATTTACAATAAAAATTACAATAATTTCTTACTCTTTTTTTGGAGGCAACTTTCCCTTGATGTCTTCTCCTGCCACTCTACGGTCTTCACATGCTTTTTTAAAAAAAAAAAATTGTTTAATTTAATTTTAATTTATAATTATTAGATTTATTTCATGGATAATTTCACTTGATTTGCTTATGCTTCTGAATTTAAATGATATGTAGATTAGTCGAGAATTATCTTTACATGTTTGCACATTTTTAAATAATTTTAAAATTTTTTTGGCTTTTTTTCTTTTTTTTAAAATTTTTTTTTATATGTTTGTAAAGAATTTAATTGTTTAAATTTAAATTTATAATCTAAAGATATATATATTCTTTTCTCATAAGTAATGCACTTTCAAATTTTAAACTGGGTTTATAATACCTAATTCAAAATTTAAATCTTATGTATATCCAAGTAAGGAACAAACAGATAATTCCAATAATAGTTAACTTGCATACCATCATTTTCCTTTCTTTTGAAGTAGAAAATGTAACCTTCAAATAAATTTTTGAAGATATAATCTAATGAGACTAATAATGAAACAATATATTTAGAAAGGATTAAGCTAATATTTAATTAAAGATTAGGTATTTATTAGGAAATATTTATTACAAATTTATTAGGAAATATTTAATTAATGATTAGGTTAATATTTTAATATAAAACCAGTTACTTACTATAGATACTACTTAGATTACTTAGATAATTAGGCAAATGATTTAACATAATTATGTTCCATGTTTGATACAAAACAAATTTTCTAATTTACATTTTTTATATACATTAATCAAGACTGTAGTAGTTAAACAGCCTTTTATGACATACATTTAAGAAAACTAAATAAATTCAAAGATTTAAAAAAGCATTAGATGTCTGCTTCTTATTTCTATCTTTCAAGAGCATGAATCTAAACAGTAATTTTATTAGCCTAAATTTATGATGCAGATTTTGGTCAATTGTTCTAAACATTGGCTCTGTGTCTGGCAGTGTTAATTATGGCAGCTGTTGCAGAACTTGCATATCTTTTATAGCTAGAACTGCTTTTAAGAGCAAAATAATGAATATTGCTCATATTTAAAAATTACAAAATTTACAGATATGAAACATCTTAACCAAATAATACAAAGCCAATTTAACTGTTTTATAACAAAAATTATGCATTGCTGACTGAAATAGCTAGTTCTAAAGCAATAATAAAGTGTTATTTCAAAACAAAAGATATTATTCATTATTGTGCATATAAATATCTTTACTGATAAAAATTATTATACCTAACACTGAATAATTAATTTTGCTAAAAACTGTAAGTTTGCTTGAACTGCAAGTTAAAAGGATTAGAAAAGATAAACTAGCATTGAGACAAATATTAACTTCACTGAGAATTCAAGATCAGCTTCAATGCAAAAACAATTTTCATCTACAGCAGCAAGGAAAAAGGATGACGAAAGATTAATGAACAAAGATTTGATAATATGTAAGGACCTTATTCTTTTTTGTATTACTTTTTGCAAAGTAAATATAAAAATAAAAGAACAGAATGAAGTAATAAACTGTATATATCGTGCAAGTAGTTTACCTTATTTTGTTCAGCAAACAAAACGAGTTTTAGAAAATTTAATTTAAAAAAATTTTGTTTAAAAATAAATTAATAATGCTCAGTAAAAATAATGATTCGCTTTAAAAAAATCTAGTAGTATATGCCATTAGTAGTACACAGTATTTACACAGCTAATAAAACTAGATATTTAGTTACTCATTACAAAAAAATAAAAGTCAGCAAATGTTCTAACAACTTTTAACAGATTTTTAGCTCATTTCTGGGGAGTCATTATCCCTAAATTCAGAATCTCTGCTCCAATTCATAATCAGTTCTGAATAAAACAACTACGTCATAACTATCAGTATTAAAAATAAGGGCTACCAAAAAAATTAACTATCAAATGTACTACTATTACAAAAAATGCTATACATATAATATAAAATGAGAAATGCCTTTATATATAAAAACATATATACAACTTTACCAACATCAAATCTTTACCATAAAAAATTAAGTAAAATAATATAAATTAAAAAAAAATTAAAGGAAGTAAGCTTTTTGAGGGGGAGGGGTCAAGATTTCCAAACATTCTCAATATTAAAATCAGAAACCAACAGACTTAGCAGCATTATAAAATTGAAAAAATATCATTTTTAAAGAAGTAGCTATCATGTTTCGGCAAGTTAATAAAATTCTGCTTGTACAGTCTGGTGAAAATTCAAGTAAAAAATTAAAGAGCAAGTAAAAGCTTACGAAATAAACAAGTCTGAATTAACCAATTAATTAAATTTTAATTTTGGTTAATTAATACCACTTCCTAAACTTCCAAAACATTTCTGATGGAGATATATAAAGCAACATATTTTATTGGATAATAAATAAAATGTGCAATAGTAAATCATAAAAAATCCACTGCTACCAAAGCAAAAAATATCAAAAATTTCAAAAAATTGCATAATAAATACAGATATTAAATTTCAAGGAATAATTTTTTTGAACATTTGTGCACACAGAGAAGTCTAAAGCACTTAAATTATCAATAAGCACTCACCAGTATTTTTATACATATCATCTTATAAAGGCTACAGACTTTCAGCTATGAAATTAATATTTCTGGATATTTTCTACTCTTAAAGAATACTTCTGTACTAAATGTGAATAAGAGACAAAGTGTCACATAAAAACAAAATGCAGTGTGTGCTTGCATCTATAAAAAGCATTTTTAAGTTAATGGGATTATCCTTTTAAAGTTCAGAATAATCGCATACGTTTCCTTCAGAAAATAACAAATCTCATATAATTCCTTCACAAAAAAATTTTAAAATAGTCCTACCCATCTAAAATTCTGGTTATTTCAGGTTATTAACTTTCCTGATTATTTACCCATACAGAGAGCTTGGTTAACATTAATCTACAAATAAACTTGCATTTCTTCATGTATTTGTTTAAAAATTTCACAACATGGCTCCTTTTCATATTAAATTTAGAAATATATATTACAAGTCTTCTACCAAAAATGTTTATGATATTCATGCACATAAACAAATGTCCAGAAGCAAATATTTACTGCCTCTGTGCAAGTTATTGAATCATTGTTGACAAAGGACAAATGCATAGTGATGGCAGCTGAAAACATAACATCAACTTTTTGTAATTGTAACAAAGCAGGATAACAAGTAATTGGTCCACTTTGTACATTGTGAAATGATTAAGTTAAAAATCTATGGCAACTTCGCAGAATGTATGTACATAAAGAACATATCAAATCAATATGATGTTAATCATTCATTTCGGAGGGCACAGCATAGACTGATAGAAAATATGAGACCCAGAACCTGAAAGAAATCATTTACAAAACATTAGATCTGTTACACCAATTTTAATAATAAAGTACTTTGAAAAAATGCACTGAACAGTTTTGCCAATGATGACCAGACACTAAAAGGAATGTGTTTAGCTGAAGATCAGATGGGCACTAATACAAGTAGGTCCACAATTCCTAACTACCATGCTTTTAGCCTTTAAGAAAGACTTGACTAAGTTTTCATTAATATTTACAGGTATTTTGCCTAATTCCTCCATGTATATGTGGCATGGTGAAGAGTTCTGTGTTCTTTTCTGGAACAATCTGGTAACTGTCACTCCAATTCATCCAAAAATACTTAAGTATTACATTGAAATCAAGGCACCGGTAAATAAGTGCAGTTTTTTTCACTCACATTCCTTCGAACCATATTTGACTTAAACAGCTTTATGAATTGACATATTATCATGCTGAAAGGCAGTTTTAAACACTTGCTGAAGATTATGTAAAACTGTCCAATTGCCCAATATTCTTTCACATCCCTTGGCATCGAGGGTTCTGAATATAAAAACAATTAGTGGAATGAAACCAAGCCAACAAAAATTCCTCCTCTACCAAATTTCATGCTACATTCTCCTGGAAATTGCCATACACATAAAGATGCGTGAAATCTTCATAAATGCAGCTTGAACTTTCACTCCACAAAAGGTTTTCCAATATTCCAGAGTCTACTGCAACAGATTTTACACTGCTGTAGTTGGCAGGCAGCATTTTACACGGTGATCTTTGGTTGATGTATTACAACTACCTCATAAAATCTAAGTGTAAAAATTCTAAACATTTTGTATATGTAAATAACATCACATCCCAAAGCCAATATAAAGTCTGTACCTAAGTTTTACTATTGAGTTTACTAATGAAGCCTACCTGTCTGACTTAAATGCATTAAAGACACTGATAATCTTAATCTGTCAATTTTTCAGACATCTCACATAGGATTGTAGTTTTACATATTTCCATTTCATATCTGCACTAATCACTGTAGCATGTGATGTCTGAAATTTGTCAACAGAATGGCCAAATCAGTGGATATTAATAATTATGCCACAGTATTTCATTCAACTTGCATTATGAGTTTATTTTGATAGCAATAGTCATATACACATCTACTGTGAGCTCATAGTCCTTTTATTTGTTCATAATATGTACTCACGATATAACAAGCAACATCATTCACATTCTAGTGAGTGTGCAGTCATTAATGACAATATGGTTCATTAAATTTATACATGTAATGCCAACAGACATAATTCTATCTTATCAAATCAGTTTGACATTGAAATTGCCATACACATAAATGTAAAGTATAAATATGAAAATAATACCAATAAATAATACATGCTCATATAAAAAGGACAACTAAAAATAAAAGTTGAAGACAAAAAGGATGGAGAGTATACACTATGGGTGGACAAACACTTTTAACTATGAGCTAAAAAGGTCTTTTTAGGGCATCATGTGCGCAAGGCTGTTGTAAGATGCAGTGGTCAGGGCCTTTTTCCCGTTAGGCCGGACAAACCTGGGATAGGACCTGCTTCTAAAGGGGGCATAGGCAGTGTTTTAATAATAAACAGCTGTTTCATTTTCTCCAAAAATTTTTGCCACTGATAAATTAAAACAACTGATAAAAGTTCTTTTTTACAATGGCGGCAGCAGTACAGCAAAATCACATGGCCTGACAATTTCTTTGGAAACAAACAACTTAAACTGCAGTTCAATGTAAAAACTGAAAACAAGAAAGAACTTATAAGAAGGTTTCCTTCAATCTTTATTTTTTTTAATTGTTATGTGCATAGTATGTGATGTATAACATATAGAATCTAATGCTATAAAAAGTAAACATAGGTAAGCAAAAAAACAATAACAATGTTAGTAAATTCCATATTTACTTAGAGATATTAAAAAAAGTACAAATGTTTGGCTGCTTCTAATTTTAATTAATAAAAGTGGGTATTGTTAATAATCTTGTTTTCTGTATGGACAAAAAGTGGTTATTTATTTATTTATTGAATTTCAAACTACATGTTAAGTATCTAAAACTGAAATTATATTACATAATGATATTCAATCAAAAGGGCCTGCTGTATAACAAGTTTAAGGTTCAAAAGGCCAATTTTGGCAAAAACTGGCAATTTTCTTTTATTCATTCATTCGATAGATTGTTTATTTAGCTTTCCAAAACTGGTCTGCTTTTGTTTCTATGTTAATTAGAAACCGAGATATTAAGGATTTCATAAAGACGCAAAAACCGGAAATGGGCATTTAAATCACCGAAAGTTCGCATTCAAAGGGTTGAAAAGAGCTAGAAATGGACATACTAAATAATTGTTATCTTTGAAATGTAATGTAAAGACTTTTAAAGAGAGAAGTTTAATAGAATCTTATCTGTAACCTGTGCAGCAACTGAAATTATTTCCAATAAAATGCAATATTTTTATTAATTACCTGTTGAAAGCATTATATCCTCGCTAGCATATGAGTTTGATTTGATTTGACACATTGCATACTGCAATTAGATTTATCTTAGTCTTTAATAATAGGGTGATAAAAAAAACGAAGCCGTGTTTGTAAACGAAAATACGTAAGGAACAAATTTATGAAACATGTTGCAAAGGAAATAGAGAATAATATTAATAAAGCAATTCCCATCGAGTGAACTAAAACTAAAATGCTTCTCATCGGTAGGAAATGTTTTGTGACACAAAAGCTATTTATATTTAAAGTAGTGTCAGCAAATATAAATATAGTCATATTCAGAAGCCTCGTTCCAGAGTTAGAAAATTGAAGGGCAAAACAAAAATATCTTGATGGAGATGTCAACATCGCTCCCTAATAATAAACAAATTCTTTATTGACAAACTTAAAAATGGATTTAGAATCAGGAACAATGAATGGAAAGTGCTGTAATTGCTACATTTCTTTCATCTCTAGTGCAAAACTACCTATACATGGTGCAGACGGACCAGACATTTTTTGTAAATATCAGCGCGCTGTATCAGTTAGAAGAATGTATACAAACAAATCCAAAGGACTGGGCTGAAGAATATAATTAATATTCTGCAGAGTGTACATAAAACTATGTGAGCAGAAGCTCTTTTAAAAGTTATAAAGAAAGACACAAAATGCAAACAAAATTTTAATGACATTTTTTGGAAATTTATACTGATGATTGCCATTGTGGAATTACAAACTCTTAAACTGGGGACATATATAGCTGTTATAAACTTTAACAGAGGGCTTTTAGGCTTACTAGATATTTTAAATTATACAAGGTGTGCAACATGGTGAATATGCAGTCGAGAGATTTAGTAAGCTCGACATGGAGCAAATAAGGAAATCAAAATATCACTCACTATCCAGAATAAAATTTCACAAAAAACAAATAGGCTGAATATAAACAGAAAAGCAGATAAAATTGAACGAAAGTAAGGTATAACCTATAGATATGGGGAGTTTTAGATATCTGGGTCAAGATTTAATAATAAAAATAAAGCATTTTAAACATTAAATGCATTTTTCTCAAAATCTACTTTGTCTAAAAACTGGCTCACTTGGTGCAAGACAAATCAAATTATTATTATTTTATTTTTATGAAACTTTGTATGCTTAATCTATATATAGTTATCTAGGGAAATGACAAACCAGAATATTTATATGTTAAATATTTTTGTAATTGTGGCCTGTTATTTAAATAATAACATCGTGAATTTATCGAAAATCTCATAAAAATTTTCAAACTTCTGAAATTGTTTTACTGTTCAAGATATTCTTAAAATCCTATGTCATTCCCTAGATAAAAGCATGTAATTTATTATTCTGATTTTTTAAATATAACTTTTCATATATATTGTTTAAAATTTGCTTAAAATTTCACGTAAATTTAATATTTTTTGCAGGATAATAATAGAATATATTAAATTTTGATGTTGCATAATTAATCTCTGTAGATAATAAATGATAAAATGTGTTTATAGTATACTTATACTGCTTTTTTGAAAAAAAGTGCTCCGAACATGTTCGGATACCTTAAGTGGATTTTGTTATTTTTTTCATAGATATTTATCAAATGATATCTTTTATCATGAACGTTTTTATTTTTGTTTGTAAAGATAAAATGTTAATCCAGGAAGGATTAAACAACAGATAAACAGATTATCACATACTGCCATGTAAAAAGGGCCTAACAATAATAATTTACATGGAACTTTACATGGAATTTTTTTGGGCTAAAAACATTTATTAATAACATCAAAAACTCTTTTTGATAGAAATATATACAGTATTTTAATGCTGCTAGTATACAGAGTGGGTAAACAATAGAAATGTTAAAAATTATCCAAATTAAAATGTTTTATTGAATTAAAACACGAAAAAGAGCAAAGTCTGTTCTATATTATAAGTCAAATATTATGTAGGCACTGTAACATCACCAAACTTCCCGGGATGGAAATAAATAAAACAGGTTGATTTTTTTTTTAGGTTTATTTAAAACTTAACACATGAAATCTAGGTTATAATAAGGTTCAAATTAATATACAAAAACAATATTATGGCCAAAATGTTACACAAGAGAAAAACAAAAGTTGCCCAGATGCAAGAGGCATCTTATTCCGATGACATTCCTTAGACATTCCTTAGACAAAGCCCCCCCCTTTTTTTTTTTTTTGTACTGTTGCAAACAAGAATCAGATATGCATAGCAGAATGCAGTTTAAAAACCTCCTTCGATTTCTTTCATCCAACTAACTTTAAGTGAACCATAAAAATTTGTGGTATTTCCCATGAGAAAAGGTTTGGTTTGCTTTAGTTAATTGTGGCAGAGCACTCGAGGGCTATCTGCCTAAAAGGAGGGTTGCCTTCATGCAGGACTTTCTAAGAGAAACTGGCTCGTATATACATTACATATAGGGAGAACCACAAGAACGCCTGTGTAGCCAGACCTTTCAATAAGATAAACCCCGGGATTGAACTACCAGTGTTCAGCAACTTTACTGCTCAACCACTGGAGGGCTGCATGAGAATAGAAAACTCACTAATTGCATGTATACTTTTTTTCTCATAGTACGAATGGCAACACCCGCATCTATAATGTTTAACTGTTAAATCACTTTATTATTTCTTTTCATTACTTATGAAAGGCTTAATTTGTTTGTTTCTGAAAGTGAGTTGCCAATGTTTGATATTTTGAAACTTCATGAGCACTTGAAGAGGGTAAAACATTAGTTATTTGGTTACATTATTTTAGGTTCTTTTATAAAATTGCTATGCATTACAATTATCTAAGTGGCAGTGAAAAACGTAAAATAAGAAAAAAATTAGCATGGAATGGAAAAAGGTGTAATATTATCATTCTTTATGTCTTCCCTATAAAGTCAAAATAAAGCCCAAGTTGAATCATTGCCTTCAATCAGTAGTGGTGAAACACCTGAAACATCCCTTTTGCAAATGTAGAAAGAGTTGATAATTTTGATAACAATATTCAAGCTAAGAAGGCAATATTGAGATGACCAAGAGAGCAAACAGAATCATTTAATTTAATAACAAAGGAAGGACTTATTAAAAATATACACTATACATATAATAACAATATACACTATAATAACAATTAGAATAAGACAAAAATAAACAACTTATTATTAATGACCATGTTAATGTTCTATTTAATATGAGGATACAACGAATCTAAATACGGTAGTGAAATAATTATTTAAAACAAAAGAATACAGAATTAACAAAAGACAATTCCATGCCCCCCAATAAACTAGGCATTACTCAATTAAGCTTTCAACAGATGGTCAAATCTATGTATCATTTCAGTCTCATCATCCATTATGATGCACAAGAAAACAGATTGATATTGCAACAATGGAAATATTCAGGTCTTAAAACACAGTGCTGAAATGTGAAGTGCTGAAATCATCAGTACTGAAAACATTAATTCTGATTTTTAGCCAATAGATGGCGCCACGAATTCATGACATCAACTAGCATCCCAATAGAAATCTGACAATACATCTATGTTCAAATTCTAGGATGTTATGTTATGCTCTTATGAAGGAACTTCTAGGAAGAAACTTACTTCTAGGAAGAAAGACATTTATATCATGGTACCTAGATTTACTATTTTTCTATCATTATCTGAAAAAATTTCAGATTTTTATAAAAAACAAAACTGAGTAAAACATAAACAAATTTATTTTCAATAACCTTTAAAAGAAAATTTATCCTCAGAAAAGGAGAGGCATTTAAAAAATACATTACATCTTCAAAATTTTAACACATGATTACTGAAACCGGCTGAAGGGAAAGCATAAGAAACAGAGAAATAGCTTAATTACATGCAGTAGGTATAGCCAAGGAAGGATATAACTCACCTGAATAACTCCTATACCTATACCAATGCCAATCATAATTATCATATTTTCTTCAAAATAACGCTGTAAACGTGGAATACATCCCTGTAAATAAAACAATATAAATATTATTTCAATTATTATAATGACGCCATATATAAAGGAATTACAAGTCAACAGAAATTTAAAAGTTCACAGTTGAATGATTTAAAAATAATATAATTCCAAAGCATTCAGAAATGAACTAATTTTATTCTACCAAATTGTTGCAATATGATATAACTCCATTCACCTGAATTTCAAGGTAATGAATGCTCAGAACCCTATCTAGAGACAATATTGAATAAAATAATTTCAGATTAAAGAAAGACCTTTTTCATAAAGGCAGTATTGTATAAATGACTTCTATGGATATATTTCCAAATTTAAAAGTTCTGATCATAAAAGTGGAGCAATGTATAATGAAGATAAAAATCTAATTCAAAAAGTGCTAGAACAATGTGAATAGACCAAGACAAAGAGCAATGTGAAAATTTTCTATTAGGAGTTGCACTAGGAAAAAGATGGTTACAAGATTCACCACTTCAAATCTACATTGCAACTTAAAATGCAATTTATGACCAAAAGTTTCTCGCCATCTAAACCTAACGATGTCAGCAAGCTGGCACAAGTAGCTTGACTGCTATAATATGCCAAAGAGGTCTATAGTATTGTTGAGCTCATTACCTACACTTGTAAACTGAAGTATTATTTTTTTTTTTTAAAGTGACACTCTATCAATATGGAGATGATGACATAGACTATGCTAAGATTAAAAAGTTCTAAACCTAAGACAAAATTCATGAAAGGGAAAAAAAAACTAGAGAGTATTAAAAATTTCAAAAGATTTCTCAAAATCCTCCTCGGTCTCTGTTTAAAAAATATTTTCAATATCTACATATGGAAATGAAGGTACGTAAAGCTTCCTTCCAGTCACAAGCTTGTTTCCTTGCAGCTTGCACAAACTTGGAGACAAGTCTATTCTCTTTCACACCATTTGTGGAATTACAGACATTCTTAAGGTGTTTCCAAATTATTCTTTTAGCCATACTCTACAACAGGGTTTCTAAAACTTTTTCAATCGCGACCCCTTTTTATCACAGAGATTTTTTTTTTTTCCCGACCCCCATATTTACAAAAATTTTGTGGGACCCCATACGTATTGTGCAAATGTGACACATGCTTGAGTGAAACTGTCAATTTTTTCACGTGTACTGTAATATACTATTGCAGTTTTAGATCATTAACTTTAATTTCTAATTTTAAGACATAGAACAATGTGAAAATTTTAAATAAGTAACAGACGAAATGACAGCATCATGAGCAAAAAGCAAGTAAAATGAATGTTTATATAATAAAAAAATGCGTCGAAACGTTTTCATTTTATTCTTTGTCTGTATTGTCTTATCTTTATCTATTTTCAGATACATCGTGTAAAAATATTTGGTAATTGTAAAATTATTATAGTAGTAAATTAAAAAAATATAAAAACTGCTAAAATTTTTGGTGACCCCCTGCAGCAGGTCCCACGACCCACAGTTTAAGAAACCCTGATCTACAATAAACAGCTCTAAGAACAGCTACAATAAACCCTGCTCTACAATAAACAGCTCTAATAAACCCAGCTCTATGATAAACAGCTCTAAGAAACCTTGTTCTACAATAAACAGCTCTAAGAAACCTTGTTCTACAATAAACAGCTCTAAGAAACCCTGCTTTACAGTTTAAGAAACCATGCTCTATAATAAATCTGAAAAAACTGGACTTGAAAAAGTCCTAATTTTGGAAAAAATTTGAAGGAAAAGAAGTGACTTTTTTAAATTTGTATTTCTCTAATTTGATGTAGCATACAATCTTCAAACAAGTTTTGACTTTATCTTGATTAATCTGTATAATATGTTTTCATAATATTCAAACAGAAATTACACAGCAAAGTCATATTTTGTTTTCTTTTATTCAGCATGATCTCCTTTTGAATGCAAAGGACTTCATCAAAGTAGATGTCTTTATGATTTTAGGTCTTTTTCATTTTCTTTGCAGTTTTACAGTGAACTATTTTGAACTTGGAAACTTACCCTTCCATTCATTAGGTGGTAAAAGTGCTGTGTGGTATTGTTCACAAGATACTGGTATGGGCATTACTCCTTGATTTTAATTGATAAGTTAAACGGAAAAAAATGGAAGCCCAGAAGTAACATAACACATACTGTCTTTTGTATGATCTAATCTTGGGTGCAGTACAGTAAAAGCATGCCAAAAGATATCTGGCAAATATGGCAATAACCCTGTATCAAAATGAATATGTCAATATTTGCACTTTCACCAGGTAAGAGGCAGCTCAAAGTCCAACTAAGATCACCAAGAATTGGTGAAAAAATTTAATGTATGCATGAAAAGCATACTTTGAAACAGATAAAGCTGGTAATTTGAATTGCCAGAAACAGACAGACAGATTAGAATGGATTGTGAGTGTCAGATTTACTTCTGCAGAATACATCAAATAATAACATAAGAAGTTTTTACATTATTGCATTTTTAGATCAAATAATAACTAAAGAAAAGAAACAGACTCTCTGTGAAAGGTGTATAATGACACAGGAATGTTTATAGGCCAGACAAATCTCCAGGAAACAGTGCAAAACAAGGATTATATCCATAAAAGGTCTTTACATGATACGATTACAGAGTAGTGATCTACTCCAAGCTATTAACACCAAACAAAAGCCTTATACATGCAGTTATATTTCTAGCAATTAGATTGATCTGATTGATGGCTCTAAGAGAAAAACACCTATCAATAGTGAGTCGTCAAGAAATGATAGTAATTAAAACAATTTCAAGACTCCACATATCTCAGGAGTCAAAGACAGGTACAGAAGTTTAGGTGAGAGACTGCAGAGTACCATCTTAATTTACTAGACACTACTGTGGAAAGTTTAAAGAAATGACTTTATAAATCACAAAATTTCAATTTATTGGGCAGTATGAATTGCATCTCCTTCAAAATAATTCCTTCTGAAGCATTTAACCCAACACTTTTTTCAATTTCCAAAACATGTTTCAAAGTCATCTTCATGAAACCCTTCTAATACTTGCAGCTAATTTACTTTTATAGTTAACAAGGACAGGCATCTGACTCAGTATGACCACACTGTCAGGCAGAATTTAGGGATGACAAAATTTTTAGAATTTAAGGAGAAACTGGGCAGAAAATATAAAAAAAGTCAACAGAACAAGGCAGCAAAAAGCCTGGTGCCACTGTTGACTGTTATCAACAGATTCAAAGCAGTGACCATGATGCAGCAGTTTTAAGTATGGAAATATGAAAAAGTCACAAGCCATCAAATGAGGTATATATGGAGCTCATGGAGCTATACTTGTTAAATCTTTGGCCAAAAACTCACAAACAAAAACAGCACTGTCAGCAAGTATGTTATAATGGTGCAGAATCCATGTGTTAATTTGGCATAATTCTAGTCATTTCCTATGAAATGCTACATGCAAATACTGCAGAAATTTCAAATACCAAAGGTCGTTCACACTTTATGGAAACAATTTTCTATTCAAATTTTCTTAGTAGATTTTGAGAAAAGCTATGGCATTTTAAAACCCGAAAAAGCATTGGCATGAGAGTGGTAAGAAAAATTGACATGAGAGTGGTAAGAAAAAGTTTACTTTCATGCAAAATTTGAGATAGAGCTACAACCAAGAAAAAAGATTATCAGATAGGAGCAAATCACCACAAGAAATGAATGCTTTACACATAAAAATTAATTACAAAAGTGTTTCTATAAAATACAAAAGAATTTCTGTACTAATCTTTGATAAATATTATTTCACCATTTGGCAGAAATTGATGATCCATTACAACTAAATAAAATAGAGGAAAAGTAATGATTTTTTTCCTTTTATCTTTTTTGGATATCACCTTCATTTGTTTACTGATTATGACTTAGTCTCTTTGATTTTGCATCATCCTTAACACAATGCACTTGAATTCTGATCCAATTCTGTATTGATAATGTAGATTTTAAAATCACTGGTGGTGCATTTTAAAAAAGACTTGCATTCAGAAAACATCTCCTGGGCTACATGAACATTCTGCCTTTTTAAAAAATATTTCAATATTTTTGGACAAAATTTGAGAAGTAATTAACCAAAAGCTTAGATAATCTTTCAAAACTGCTGGAAAGGAATAAAATAATGTAGGGAATGTTTCAATAGTGTCGCTAATTGCTAAACAACAATTTCTACACATTAAATCCCTGATGTAATCAATGTGCATTCTCTGCCTTCATCAAGTATTATAATAGCCGTTAAAAAATTTTGTTGTTGTTGTTGTGCTCAAAGGCCTCTTGCACTATTCTCAACACTTTTTTAAGGAGAAATTTCATGGGAAAAAAAAGAAAAACAATGAATGTGCTTTGTCACACAAATTGTCAAAGCAAAAATTCTTTACTCGCTAAGAATGAACTTATTTGAAAATGGCAAAAAGATATAAAATATGGATTATTACCAGATATTGATGAAAGTTAAAGCAACTTATGGTAAAACTCTGCAAGTGATTTCTTCCACACACTTATTTCAAATGAATCATTTTTTAAACATTTTTTTATCACAGTTGTGCACCAAATTTTAACGAAACACGAAATTTTAAGGCTTTCTTAGTTGACCAATGTAACTTAAGGACCCCATTCCGGATATGTATTCCTAGGGTATTTACAAGATTCCTTGCCAGTGTGGTTTAATTTACATTGGTGAAACTAAGAAAGCCTTAAAATTTTATGTTAAGGAACATGAGGCATATGTTAGGAAAAAGGAAACACATACATCCTCTGTTCCCCATCATTGTTGGTCCGAAAATCACACTTTTCAGTTTTCGGCAGCCAAATTTATTCAAAAAATATCTTTTCATTGGTGAACTGGATTTTCTAGAGGCGCTTCACATTAAAAAAATCTTTTTGTCTAGTTAACGACACTAATTCTAATCCATCTTTACCTTGAGCCTTTTAGGAAATTATGTTTTAGTTTTCTTATTTCATCAATAGATGGAGCCAGTAGCTTAACTCCTGTCCAGCCATTCTTATCTTATCACTGTATCTTTATTTTATCGCTATATTTTATCTTGTTCATTTGCATTTTAATAGCTGAGGCTGATGGTTCCATAAAACCATCGAAACGAGTCCTGTGAAAATTTGCAAATATAACGTTGATTTTTGTTGTTTGACTTCTAAATTAATAACAGTAGTGAGTACTTTTGTAATCGATTGTAAAATTTCTTTTATCCTCATACAGGGTTCGTACACATTTCTGCACACGGAAATTAAGTACTTTTAAGGACCATTAATGAAAAAAATTAAGGACCTATGAGCAAATGGGAACTGAATAAATTCAATTGAAGATATTATCTATGCCTGAATTTCACTTTTATAATACCATCCTAAAAATAAAATAGATCCCTAAGTAGTATGCATTATTACTAAACATAAATAAATTAACATGATTGTTAATAAGTTTGAGAATAAAATAAACTATGCAAATTTATCAAGTAGCATTAAATATTTTACACTTATGATAGTTGGTCATATTTGAACGTTTATATCGATTTCCTTCTCTTTTAAGCATCTTTTCTAACAATTAGAGATTTGTCTCAATGTGCAAAGCAATGCTCTCACTAGTTTCTGTGTGCTTCATCTCCTAACTTATCAATCTCTCCATAATGTACCTATAAGGGTTTAATTGACTGGTAAAAGTTAAATAGTCCAAAACCCCCGATAGACGTGAAGCATATTATCGCTATGTCTGAAATTAATTACAATATCAGACAAAGATTTAAATAAGCCTCTTATTTAAAAAGAACTTAGAACATAAAGGCATGTTCTGATGCTAACAAAATCAATTACAGCTCACGGTGACATAATTGAACAAGAATAGTCAAATTCCAAACTAATAATGTGAACTACTGGTCAAAGATTACTACAACTTTAATCTGTAATTTAATCTGGCTCAATTAACTCTTATCATATGAGGAAATAGAAATTGGAAATTATAGTAAAGGTTGAAAATCAAACAATTGGGTAATTTACATAATAATAACTGCACATATCTTTGAAGAATAATTTCCTTTATAGTTTCCTTTCTTCAACACGTTTCCTTTTCATTTTAGAATTTTTGATTTAATTAAGGATTTCCATTATTCTAAAAACACTAAATGCATTTAGAAAGTACAGAAAAAGTGGCTAATTTTATTTCTTTAGTAATATGAACATTCAGAAGCAATATGAAATATATATAGTAAAGGACGGCTGATGTGGCAGAATTTCTAGAATTTAGTAACACACCAAACAACAAAATCTAGAGATGGCAAAACTTTTAGAATTTAAAGCAAGCATTGGAAGCAGAATTTAGAAAGGCAGTAGTCAGCAGAATTTAGGATCCACAGAGATTGCATCAGGTGGGAAAATGCCTATTGCCAGCTATGTGTATGATGCATTAAGAAATATTAGATGAATCTTTTAAACCATAAGTTTTCAATTTCTTTATTAATAAAAAAATCCCTTTCTATAATGCCTGCCCATGAGATAAGATCAGAAGCATTTTTGATATTTTCCATGCTTCTGTCTAATGAAAAGTAGAGAAAATAAACAGAAGATAAACATGTTAAGATTCTAGTATCAGAAGTAATACATTCAAATATTATGTTTTCATTGTTCTTCCAGATGTTCTCCCAAAATTAAGAAATTCATTGCAAACTTTCTGTAAAATATATTGTTCTTCCAGATGTTCTCCCAAAATTAAGAAATTCATTGCAAACTTTCTGTAAAATACATCCACTACGTGTTGATACCCATGGAGACATTTTTCATTTTGTCACATATTTCTCGAATCTTCTAGAATCTGGGTCTATAAATCTTGCCTTCAAATCCTTCTAAACTTTCCAAGCTGCAATGTCTAAAATCCTAAAGAAAAATTATCCCTACCATTTCTGTAACAGAAAAAAAGCCAGAAATATTTTGGAGAAAAGTAGGAGGGAAAAAGTATAAAATTAATTTTATAGAGAAAACTGATGCACATTATGAGAAATTTGAATATTCTGAGACAATTACATGGGAAAAACTCTTACTATGAAAAAATTAAAAATAAGACATTTTTAATTAATTACACAGCTAATTTTGCTTTTGCTAAGAGCTGTTTCGTAAATTGTGCTTTATAGCATTATACCTTGTTTATTTTTCAGATTTAAAATATTGTATAAGTTGCCAAAATGAAACTTTATAATATGACAGAGAAAAATAAAAATGTTTTATTTTAATGTTATTTTTTAAATATCATTTCAATATACTACCATTACTTTAATAAAATTTATCAATTTTAAAATCACCAAAATGTTGAAAAGTCACCAAATTTAGAACCGTTTAATAAAAGAATTCACATCCCCAAAAGCAAAAAGTTGTTTAAAAGCTCTTTACTAGAAAAAATGAATTTCGAACTGCTTATGTTTCACTTCTTGCTTAGAAACTCGAGTATCCCATCATTTACTATATTAGAAATAGAAACAAATTACCAGAGCCGTTTTCAGCGCCCAGGGACAACTGAAGGTTTCGCACCCCCTACTGCTTGCCAAGGATAGAAAACATTTAATTCTAAAATGCTGTAACATCAGTTTGGCGCCCCTTGGATTCTGCGCCCGGGGACAGATGCCCCTCCTTGCTCCCCTCTAGCTACGCCCCTGCAAATTACAACTCATGAACCTATTGAAAAGATTACCATATATACGGCAGTGAATCGCCTAAAATATTCTTCAAAATGCTAATTCACACTCAAAATAACAGTTGTAAAAACAGACAGAAATTTTAGATGATTAAAATTAAGGACCTTCTGTTGATTTTGACCAAAATTAAGGACTTTTAAGAACCAAAAATCGATTCCAAAATATCTAAGGACTTTTAAGGACTCTTAAGGACCGCACGAACCCTGTCATAGGTGGACGAAAATTACAGTGAGTAACAGAGAATGTTTTCTAAATTAAAACCAATAAGTGTATAATACAATATAACAGAATATGTTCAATAAAAGCATAGAATCGTCTGCTCTTTGAAAATTACAAGACTTTTGCACACAGTCGGTAAAATACAGTAATTAACACATAATACTATAATTTAACTTTCAACCTTCAAAATAGTCCAGCCGTTTATATCTGAACATCTATATATTTATTACTTTTTTAGTACGCAATTCACAATTCTTATTTTCTTTAATAATTCAAAAACCAACTTTATGATCAAAACATTAATATAGTATTAAACAACAAAATATTTCACTGGGATAGTTAATCTCACATTTCTTATTTGCTTTAATAATTTGAAAATCCATTTTATGATCTAAAGACTGTTCAAATGAAATCAAATTCACTTAACACAATATTAAACAACAAAATATTATCACACAGATAGTTACTCAAATTCTACACAAAAACAACTATCTGATAAATTATATAGATTTAAAACTAATATGATTTAAGAAAAATTCTAAACAGAGAAAAATAAATAATTTACTTTCTTACCTCATTGTAAATACCATCAAATATCTGTCCAGCAAATTTTATTTTTCGCTGAATTTCACAAATTTCTGGGTTTTTGTTCTTGCAACATGTTGCAGGTAATGTGTAAAATCCTAGTGTTTTAGATATACCAACTTCAACTGCACTTTTATCTTTGCTATTTAAGCGAGAATGTGCCCAATCACTCGGCTGTAGAGCACCACAGCAGTGTAACTAAAACATTTTCATAAAGTATTAAGATTATGTAACATAACTTCGCTTATTTTATACAATACAAAATCACAGTGTGGTGCAAATAGGCTAGAAAAATTCACAGTTGAAACATAATCACCAAATACTACTATTTCTTAAAATCTGCAAACTAAAGCTTTAAACATACATTCAGAGTATAAATTTTAATTTATAATACATAATTAAAAAAATCTGATGTGTACACCACATGACTTCCTTGTACGGAATATTAAATTATACGCATTTTTTCTTGCATTTATTATTTAAACTTATTGGATTGAATTAAATATACTTCGCCGACAGCGCATAAACCACAATAGAATAAATGCATTCTTTAAAATTCACTCTAGTATTTGTTTACCATAGCGACACTCTGGCGCTAGATTCACTTAACAGTATTAATAATTATGTAACAGTTAACTTATATATTTCCTTAATATTATAACTCATAATGCACAAAGTTTATATCATTTAAAGAATAGAATTATCTAATCGTTGCCACATGTTCTATTTAAATACTATAATAAAGCTAGAATGATGTATAAAAAAATTAAACAAACAAAACAAAAAAGAAACAGTTTTTCACAGACGATTCAGTATTTCTCATTTAATTAATTCAGTTCTCACTTCGCGAGAAGGCAAAAATACATAAAAACTCAAAATATCTATATTAAAAATTACGAAGTAAATCTTAAACACTTATTTCCTCGAAAAAATTCCAGAAAGAATTAAGCATGATTTAATTGGCAATAATAAATGAATGCATTATCTTTGTTGTTGCGAAGCTAAGTTTCTCTAGATTGGCAACAAATCCACTAGTCTCCTGTTTCAAATGTAAACATCAATGGCCTCCATAAAAAAAAAAGGCTTAGCGACACTTAGACAACTTTAAAATTGTTGATAATTCTAAAAATATTGAGTACAGATTTACTAAAGGCATAAAAACCTTAACCAGAAGATAAAAACAACATAATGCAATCATTTTTAAAGCAAAAAATGTACAATTTACAAACATATAAGAGTAATAAAACTGAGATCACTGAACAGAGTGGATATATATATATAAATATATTTATATACGTTTGGTGCGGCTGATTGCAACCAAAATACGAGGTGCACATTTACATGTTATAGCAGACCTATATACAAAATTTCAACGTTCTGAGGCTACTCGTTTTTGAGTTATGCGAGATACGTACGTACGCACGTACGTATATACGTTCGTACAGACGCCACGAAAAATTCTCTTCAGAATTAATTTTAAAGCAGTTTTATAATTTTTTTTTTTTTTTGAAGGAAAAGCGTATTTTATTCTGTCCTTACATACAGATATCACGCAAAACATCGTTAAGTTGCATTCGATAGCGGTCAAAATGGATATTTTCGTTGAAATATGCTGCCTGAAACTATTCGCGATTACAATACTTCCTTTTTACTTCGTACAAGGAAGTAAAAACTGATTTTAATTAGAATAAATTATACATCATTCTCGGCAATAGTCATTAAAATTATTCTATTTCACTGAGAATCATTGGAATGACCAGGTGGAACTGAAAATAAAAAAAAAATAATAATTCCAAAACCAAAAAATTATAATAATGGTGTGGTGTATTTAATTATGGCAAAGCACACTAGGGCTATCTGCCTAAGGGGAGGGATGCCTTTTGTGGAGGACCTTTCTAAGGGAAACTGGCTCGTATACACGTTACACATGGGAAAAACCACGAAAGCGCCCATGCAGCCAGCCCGTTCGCGGGATTCGAACCTCGGACCGAACTACCAGTGTTCAGCATCTTTACCGCTCGGCCGCTGGTGGGCTAATTATGATAATGAAGATTACGTAAAAAACTTCTACAGCATGTAGATAGATTCTTAATTCATTTAAAACAGATAAACATGCAAGTCTCCCATTTAACAGGTACATATAAAATATTGGAAATTTAAGTCATAGGATTTACTTTAGGAAAAATTAGTATACACAGAGGTTTATGAATAAAAACATGAAAATTCAGAATTTTTAAATTTAAACAAATATTTTTACAATACGTCATTACCAATATCGATATCTTATCCATTAAACAATATATCTCATAAAATAGGCACAATTAAATTATTTTAGCATTTTAAATACTTTTAACATCTTGAATATTTTTACATTTTAATTTTAAATATTAAAAACTTTTTTTTTTCATTTTAAACACTTTTTATTCTAATATTTTAAATTTTAAAACACATTTTAAATATATCATTTTAAATTTTTTACATTTAAATTTAAAAAATCAAAATGTATTACCCATAAAGACATCTAAACAGAAATAATTACTACACCACAACAGAATACATGAAGTGTTGCCTGAGTAATAAAAAATAATAAACTTACATCATGCTGAACAGCATCTATAGTATTTTCAACTGATTTTGAAGCACCATACTCATCTTTCACCATTTTTGTGACTTGAACTTCAATTATTTTGTTTACCTGAAAAACCACACAAAAAACATTATATTTAAAGATTCAATTAGGCAAAGCAGAAAAATTGAATTCAATTGATATAAAATATTATCATGATTATTCTGTGCATATTGGTTCTGTGTTATTGAAAGTGCTTTTTTATAATTTGTTTTGTGCTCCGGTTTTGAAAAATGTGCCTTTTGTATCAAGATAATGATTATTTTGAAGAAATGAATGATTGAGAATTTCATCGACCCGGAACGCCCCATTTGCATGCACGGCAATGGATGCTACGGAGGATGACGTGTTTTACGATGCTCTTGAAAAACACTGTAAAATTATTGAATCAGCACTTCAATCTAAATGCAATATGAATCAACAGGTTCGCGAGGAGGCCAGGCAGGCTTTGGGTGAGTTGAAATCTTCTATTTATAAGAATTTTGAACGTATCAAAGCTGTTAAATTTATGGATGCATGTAAGGAAAGTTTGAAAGACGCCTTTTCAAGACCTAGTTATGCTAGTATGGTGGCGCCATCTGATGTTACAAGGATTAATGAAAAATCCTTGATTTCTTCGGATTGTTGTTTAATTGTAGACTCTGAAAAACTGCTCTTCTGACGATGTTAAGAAAGTTATTAAACTAAAAATTAATCCATTAGAAGCTAAGTTAGGTGTATATACTTTGAAAAATATTGGAAAAGATAAAGTCTTGGTTAAGTGTTTGACAGAAAATGATCGAAATCGACTTCAAGCCGAGATTAATGAAAAGTCTCCGGAATTAAACACGTCCTTACCAAAAAAGAGGAATCCTGTTTTACTTGTAAAAAATGTGCCAAATGAAATACCTAATGAAGATCTTCTGAAAGTGATTTTTGAACAAAATCCCGAAGTTGTTGAATCTGATGAAAACAGAAGTATATGTAGAGTTCGTTTTACTTTAAAAACCTTCCAGTTCACGAGGCACGTTGTGATTGAAACGCACCCCATGGTTCGTAAACGTATTCTGAATCAAGCCAGGTTGAAAATTAATTGGAGTATATGTGAAACTGACGATTTTATTATCATCAATAGATGTTTTAAGTGTCTTGGGTACAACCATCGTGCTGATGAATGTCGTGAGCGAACAGCCTGTTTTAACTGTTCTGGAGAACATAAGGCAAGGGATTGTTCGAATAGGAATGCTGTAGCTTGTATAAATTGCATCCGCTTCAATCATAAAACAAATAACAGCTATAAAAAAGTGAATGTTAATCACAAACCCTTTTCAGAATGCTGTCCTAGTCATGAATTTATGAGAAAGAACATTCAATCTCGAATTGATTATGGCTAAATTGGCTAGACGCGTTCTAAAGTGTGTGCAGTTAAATCTTCATAAATCCAAATCTGCGACACAACAGCTAATTTTAAATATGGAAGCTGATGATATTGACTGTGCTTTGGTTCAGGAACCTCATTATTACAAGAATTTTCTTCCAGGATATCCTGGCACTTATAGACTTTATTGTGATCCTAATTCTGATAATGTAAAGGCGGCAATCATTATTCGATCACGTGATCTATCAACATTTCTTGATATATAAAAATACGGATTATAATATGGTTACCTTGGATATTACTGTTGGCTCAACTGTGCTCACTCTTTTTTCATACTATTTTGAACCCTCAAGAAACATTGACTTAGATCTTCATAAAATTAGTCAAGTCTTTATGTCCAAAAATCTTAATCGACTGGTTTGGTGTATGGACTCTAATGGCAAATCTGAATTATGGTTTAGTCCCTATTCTGACTCTCGTGGAGATAAACTGAGTGAATTTATTTCTGCCAACAACCTATTTGTTATTAATGAAGATTATGGACCTACGTTTCAGGCAACTCAGGGTTCTAGTTATATTGATGTTACTGTTATTGGTTCAGATCTTCTCCAGGATATTTCGAGTTGGCGACTGTCTGAAAAAGAATCCCTTTCTGATCATATGATGATTGAATTTGAATTTTGTCTTTCTACGTTCTTACGAGACACCTCAAATGTTCCTTTTAAAATCTTCAATACAGGGAAAGCAAATTGGGATCGTTTTCGAAAATTTTGTTCTTCTCGCATCACCCGTTTCATTGATATTCTTAACGACTGTACTGACGGTTCTCGACTAAATACTCTTGTTGAGAATTTTAGTTCTGTTCTTCTCCAGGCATCTCAAATTTCCATACCTGTTAGGAATCATGGTAAGCACAATGTTCCTTGGTGGTCTGCCGAAATTTTTTGTATGAGAAAAAGGCTTAATGCCTCTAGGCGTAGATTTCAGCGTTGTAAAAATCCGCCTCTTAGAGAACTTTATAAAAGTAAATATCTTGAATATAGAAAAGTTTACAATCTAAAGCTTGCCGATGCTAAATCTCAGTCTTGGAAAACATTTCTTTCGACCATTGATGTTCACAATGTATGGAAAAAGATTTACACATATGGAGTTAAAAGAGATTTCATGAAAAAATTGAAATAACTGGTATTTGTCTTTCCACTGGAGAGACAACCAACTCTTTAGAAGAGACAATTACTGCTGTGCTTCAGAAATCTTTCCCCTCGGATGTAGAGGAAAATGATGATGATTTGCATAAGGAATACCGTCAAGCTGCGCGAACTGCTTATTCTTCTTTTGTAGATCCTATGTTTTCTTGTGATGAAGTTAATACAGTTATTTCTATGCTGGAACCAAATAAATCACCTGGTCCTGACTCTATTTCGAACGAGATTATTAAACAGTTTCATTTAATGTTTCCTCAATTTCTCCATAAACTTTTTAACGTTTGCCTTAAATGTTGGCATTTTCCCACGTGTTTGGAAACATGCTCAAGTAATTCTTATTCCTAAAGGAAATGAGTCTAGGATTCCTTGCCTAGATAACCTTAGGTGTATAAGCTTACTTCCTGTTTTGGGTAAGTGCTTGGAAAAACTTTTTTATTAACAGAATTTGCTGGTATCTCCGCCATAGAGACCTTCTTTCTGGTAATCAGTATGGTTTTACACCTCAAAAAAGTTCTGAAGACGCTCTTTTACGCTTGAATGAAATTGTTCAGAGAGGAAAAAAGAAAAACTTGCACACTATTTTGGTCTTTTTGGATATTAAGGGCGCCTTCGACTATGCGTGGTGGCCTTGTATTCTCAATCTTCTCAAAAAAGTGGAACTTCCAATGAATATTTTTTCACTTGCTGCTGATTTTTTAAATGATCGGGCGGCCAAATTGCAATTGGGCTCGGCTTCTGCAATTCGTCACCTTGAAAGGGGTTGCCCTCAAGGTTCTGTTTCAGGACCTACGTTTTGGAATATTATTATTAATGATCTCCTATTAAAACTGGAAAATCTTGCTTGTTGTGATACTATAGCCTTTGCGGATGATGTTTTGTTTTGCTTCCAGAGTAGGGACCTTTCTGCTACTTTTTTACAGGCACAAGAGACTTTAAATTTCGCCTCCAACTGGTCAAAAGGTTTTAAATTAGATTTTAATCCTGATAAAACCAGGGTTATGATTATTGAAAAGCGAAACATCTGTTATGATGCATTTCAGTTATCTCTCGATGGCACCCCTTTGACTGTGGTAAAGCAAATGAAATATCTTGGGGTTTTTCTTGACTGTAAATTTTCTTGGAAACAACACTTAACTTATGTATCAGAGAAATGTGATAAATTACAGCGTGGATTAAGTCGTATTGCACGCAACACATACGGTATTAATTACAACGTTCATTCGCTCATCTATAAACAAGGAATTGCCCCCTTCATTATGTATGGCTCTAGAGTCTGGGGTATATCGCTCAAGAAGAAGATAAATTATAGATATTTACGACGTGTTCAAAGGCGGATACTTCTGCGGGTCATATGTGGATATCGTACCGTAAGCTATGAGTCTGTTTATGCAATTTCTGGCTTTCCTCCAATTGACATTGCCATTCTTCATTCTATTGCTTATAAGGAAAATATTTCTGCTTCTACTGTCTCTCAGTATGATTGTATATATTACCTCTATCTGATCTCCCTCATCCTTCAGAAAGAAATGCTGTTAATTTTATTCAGTTTAGCAATAAAGTCGTAGATGATTCGCCTGTAACTTGCTATACTGATGGCAGCAAAATTGATGGCAAGGTTGGTCTCGCATTTGTTGTCTTCAAAAATGGTCTTGAATTTGAGCACTTTCAATTTAGAATCAGAGATGAATGTACCGTTTTCATAGCTGAACTTTTGTGCTTAAACTTCGCCGTCAAATGGGTCTCTAAACAAAACAGTGCTGTTTCAGACTATCTCATTTGTACTGATTCCCTTTCATCCTTGGAGATCTTAAAATGTATATTTCTTCTTCTAATAATATCATTATTGAGATTCAAAAAGAACTGAAAAATCTAAAGGATAAAAATATTTCGGTTTCATTTTCATTTGTTCGTGGTCATACAGGTGTTGTTGGGAACGAACGAGCCGATTTCCTTGCTAAGACTGCGACTAAGGCAGGAAATTGACACTTTTGTCAATATCCCTAATTCCTTCTATAAGAAGGTCATGTATAAAAGCATTGTGGAGTCGTGGAATCACGAATTCATTAATTCAAATAAAGGGAGTTTAACTAGAAGATTTTTCCCTTCTATTAAATGAGATTGTCGTGTCATCATTTCTTCACCAATTATAAATTAACCCAGTTTCTTACTGGACATGGGAATTTTAAAAGTTATTTGAACAGATTTAAGTTGAGTCCTGAGTCTGTCTGTGACTGTGTCCTCGGCGGCGAGGAGAATGTAGAACATGTGCTTCTTCTATGTCCTAAATATGAGAACGAAAGAAAAGTCTTGAAACTGGGACTGAAAAAATTTTAATATTAACTGGCCTCCAGAGTTTTACCAATTTATTTCCGAGAGAAGTGCTTTTAACACTTTTTGTCAATTCATTGTAAAACTGTGTAATCATCCTTAATTTTATTTCAATTTTCTCTTCTGTTTAGTTTGTATTGTGTTTCTTACTTACTTCTGTAAGCCCCATGTGATACTATGTGGTACATGGGGAACTTGTTGTGTTTCTTTTAATAAAAAAAAAAAAAAATTGATATAAAAATAAAAATTCAAAAACTGTTATCAATAACTGTGAATATAACAGTAATCTTTAGTCAATATCAACGATACATCACTAATAATAACTTAATTATATGCATGATTTAAAATAATCAAGCACTAGCACATACACATGCTTTTCCACCAATTTACATACACAATCATATTTTCACCTCATGCATTTTTTATTTAAATGTTTATTTATTAACATTTAAATATTAAATTTTAAATGTTTATTTAAATGTTTAATTCTCATTGTTTTTTAATTAATTTTAATGTGCCTTGAAATAGTTCAATAAATACTAAAAGTATCAAGCTATTAACATATTAGTTTCCTCACTAATTAAGGCCTTTATTTTTAAATATGTCTTTTAATTATTCCTGTTTCAACAAAAACATGTTTTTGATTTTTTAACACTACATCTACGCATAAGTTTTAAATTTAGCCACATAAAAACAACAAAAATACATTTATTATATGCCTTAAATACATAAAAATATTTTGCTATAGAATGGACACTTAAGTATTTTAATTTATTTCTTCTAAAATTGAACTAAATGATTATGTTATAAATTTTATACTTACCTCATCTTTATACATCCACGCCCAAACACCACCAGTTATTTCTGCAGCAAAAATGACCAGTAAAAATATGAAAAACTGAAAAGGAAGCAATATATTTTTAATTTTTCCGATAAACATGCCTATATTGCTTTAAAACTTATTTTAAAAAATAGAACATTAATTATTTCTAAAAACACAAGACAGAAAAATTCCTCTAAGTGTCTCAAAATAATTTTAAATTAAAGTAATTTCGAACACACCTAAATAGGAATAATTTAAAACATACAATTTCAAAAAGGATCTTATGAAATACTTACACACAAAACTGATGCACGTTCTAGTTCCCCCCTCCCAATCTTTTCTTTCTGTTTCATAAAGACGTCACATATGAGGAAAATAAATTCATGTTAAAGGTTCGCACCAGATGGCGACACTAACCGAAATCATGCTAAAATAATGAATTATAGACTGGTTATCATAAATTAAGGAAAAAATCTCAAAAAGCACGATTACTAAAAAAGTTACATGTAGAATTTAAATGAAACTTACCCACAATATCCAACACATAGTAAGGTATCACATAACATAAAAAGAAATTACCAGACAAATATGGTAGTATAGAAATTAGCACATGTATAAAATGAACAAATCGAAGGTGTCAGTTTGCTACAGGAAAAGTACCTTCAATATGGAATTTGATCGCCTCTAGAAGCAATACAGTACATCAGTGCTCTGCAACCTTTTCTCACCTGCGACGCACAAAAAAATCTTTCTGGAATTTCGTGGCACACCAAAAGCTAATGTATATATGTAAGTGATTTATACACAAAATTTACAATAAATTTTTGTTTTTAATTTGAAAAATATACAATTATAAAACCCATACATATTCTATAGTATATTTAAAAATAATTGTTGATAAAACTTGTTTTTATATAAATTTATTAGAACTCAAGTAATTTTTGTATACCATTTTTTGTATTACTGACTGCGAAATTTTTTTAAAAAATTAAAAAACAAAAATTTTCAATTTGATTGGTTTATTTCAAATTTTAAAAATAACAGTTTTAGAGCTATTATTTTTAATTAAAATGGTCTGAAAACATATATTTCGTTTAAATTTATGTTTAAAAAAAGTTATATACTTTGAGTTCCGAGTTATCAAGGAAGTGCCGAAAAAAATTCAAATGCTGACACACTTACGATCACACACACAACCATACAACAGTGAAATATATAAAAAAACATTTAAAATAAACATTATTAAGGGAAAAAATTGTCATTGTGCATTAAATAATGATAAAAAATTGCAAAATGTCAAATACATTTATTTGATT